AGCATATGGAATTTTTTTGAAGATGCCATTCGATAGCCCTCGCAAAGAGCTATAAAATGAGCCTAAACTTGTTTATGAAATGTTTCATCATAAGAAGTTATTAACAAAAAACGCTCAAAACCGTCCCGAGTAGCCCCGGTTGACGGTACATCTGATAACTTTTATGCAAAATATAATGATGTTTGTGTGCATGAAATTCACGCACTTCAACTTACTACGCACACCTGAAAGCCTGCATGCAATATATTACGATGCCTGTATTCATGATACTCATGCACTTCAACAATACATACATCTGAAAGCCTGCATGCAATATATTACAATATTATGCCACAAAACCTCATGTTTTGTGGTTAGTGTTGCCAAAGAGTTGCAAATATCTGAAATGCAATAATTTCAACCCAAATGTGTTTGCAAGAACTTCTGAAGACATCAATTTTCCCTTGATTCATCACCAAACATCTTCAATTTAACCCTCTTTCTACTCCCTAGCCAGCAACATTTAAATTACTGGCCTTTAACAGAAATGATCTATTTAACAATAAAAGAAACAGAAATGTATCTTTCTGTCATGATCAAAACAATTTTGTAGTCATTATGTGGCTATCAAACCCTAGACAATGTAGTTTTGAACACTTTTGTACTCTTTTTAGTGACAAGTGGCAAGGTATGTGCAGTTTCTGCTGAGGTGCAACATTGACAGTAGATGAGAGGTAATTCATCTAACACCAGTCTGGAATATTTGGCAAAATTTTCTTGCAATTATAGGTAAAAATTACAATTTCACGGGTAAATTCAAATAATTGCATGCAAAATTAAGCTGATTTTTTCTTTCTGATATGTAAATTCATAGTTTAATTTACAGGCCCATAGGTGGCTTCTGCCCAAATTTCCAGTTAGGATCTAGGTTAATCTTGCGGGTCTACAAAATGTTGGGAAAGCTCTGGTCACAGCTTGAAAGGTAGATTTAAATATTCCATGCAGGATGTAATTCAAGAAATTATGGTTTCATATTAATTTCAATCCACCTTGGCTGGTCTTTTGGTCCAAAAATTTAAGTTACAATAAAAAAGAAGAAAAATAGGAGGAATCAAAGTTGCACTTGAAAAAATAGAAGTTTAAGCACTTAGATTTCTATTAGACTAAAGGAAAAATATGAATTAAAATATATATATTTTGAAATTGAATCTGACATTGCCCAAAGAGAAAGTGTGACATCTTTGGGTGTTCACAGTGCTTGATGATGTGCCGCATGCCGTAAAAGAAATGGAGTATCTCATTATTTTGTGTGGTACCAAAAACTTTGTTGGTATCGTTAAAATATTTTAACTTTTGTGTAATAGTAGACTATTAGTTTTTTATATTTTAGAACATATTCATTGCAACAATTGTTCACATATGGATAAAGGTCTAGCAAAGATAAAAGAGAACGGCTTCACAGATATTCCCATGCTGTCTGTAAATCGCGCAGCATCAGACTAGCAGCAGCCTCTCAAACTATCAGCTAAAGAATCTCCTTATTGCGGAGATTTCTTACTTTTTTCTTCTCCAAAGCTGCCACATATTTGGAATAATTTAAATTTGTCTGAAAGCATTTTGATATGTAATTTTCATAAATTTTAAATTTAATTTTTTTATGCAGATTTCATATATTTCATGGTCAAACAGTATAAATTTTTGCCTTTATGTTAGAGAATAAGTTTTCCTCTTTTTATGATGCATTTATATAAGTATTGATAATAATAACTTAAGGTATTGCTATTCATATAATAACCTATAACAACCCTTCTTTATAATAAAATACCAAGCAAGTTCACAGTTTGGTATTTTTTCTCTCCTTGTAAATTGGATTCTCATGTCCTAAAATGAAGTCACAGCTCCTACAATATTTTTTCATTGTGACCAAGATTTGACATTATAAACTCACCATCACAATATTTATATAAAGTGCTTAAAATATTGGCAAATAAATATATTAGTCCCTGTCCTTGCCCTTGTTTATTGAATATTGGTTCTCTGTGTAACATTTCTCCCATAATTAATGTGAAGGATATCAGTATGTAGGAGCAAGAAAGTTTATTATTTACATTTGCATAGATGTAGGTATCCTAGACCGCTACCTGAATCTTTACATTAAATTTTGCAAGTGCTAAATCTGATGGAGAAATGAAGGAATGTGTGTAGGTATTTCTTATATTTTTAGGTTCAAATTTGACATAGTTTGTATATTGGAAATTTCAGAATAACTTGTGCTATTTAGGTTGACAGGCTTTTAAGTACGGTAATAAAAACAAAACACACTTTCCCAAATACCCGGTATGTAATGAGTTACATACGTATGTTCTAGAAATATTACTGATAGTTATTTTTTTGAGAGCAAGGATACTGATTCATGTTTTTTTTTCAGGTATTCAATTCACAAGCATAGGCGCCAAGATTCAAAACTTCAAACTCTATCGAAAGCTTGACCAAAATAATGCTGTCACTGCACTAGCTTGGAGGGACGAGGCAGAGAACGAGGTTTGTGCAGCACCAACGGAGTGGCTTGCCTATTTGTATTACTCTAATATTCTGTTGCCTATTCTGCATTTTTTTAAATAATAAAAAAAAAAAATCTGTATCAACTTTGGAGATTTTTGTTAGTCATGGATCCTAGATTATTTTTTGGAGTAATATTCATTATTGCTACTTTTTACAAGACTTCTCTTTAACTTAACTTCTTGTTGTCTGTCTGTCTGTCTGCTGCAAATCTTATAATCAAAATATAATACACTTCTACTTATCCTATCAATCTGTAATTTTGCACACTTGCGTAAAGTTGGAGACATTGCATGAATCAATTGACAGAATTAATAATTTAAAAAACTAAAAGTTTTTTAAATGTTAAAAAAGATGTTAAATATTAGAATTTAAAGATAATTTTTTTCAAATATTTAAAAATAAAGTAAAAAATTCATTGTACATGTGTAACATCTGAGACACTGGCCTCTTTAGAAGTGTTGTCTTCAAAAAGAAATTTTGAATGCATATTACTTATTATAGACATTATAGAATGGATTGTTGCTAGTTTGAAACTTTCACTGACATATGTTATATGTTATGCTGATGAATAGATATTGTCTACATTTATTAAGATGATGTGTCATATAGATGATGACACATATATGACATTTGTGTCTTATATATGTCATATATGTCATATGGCATTCTCTTTACATGGCATTTTATAGGTATTTTTTCTATATTCTCACATTTGCAGATCATACATAAAAACCTTTTTCTTACCAATCTTTACCAATCTTTATCTACTTTTCATGATTTTTATTGTTTTTCAGACATTATATTGAATTTCTATGTAGTTTTGGATGGTATGTGATGCTTGATTTAAAAACTCAAGGCACAACAATTTTAACGCATAATTTCATGCTAGTTATAGATTGCTAGATTGGCTTTGATGTTTAATGTATGGTACAAAATAAAAATCTATGATCAATGAAATTGCTATGACAAATTACATTCATGCAGCTGATTGTTACACTTTATTATTCTAAATGTCAGAACTCATCGTACTTATTCCCCTTGCTTTATATCATTCTGTTAAAGCCCCCTTTAAAATTGCCCTTTTTTTGTTTTTATTCAAATATCTTACATCCTTCCATCTCTTGAACTATGAGAGTGAACTCGTGACAAATATTTTCCATGCAAATGCTAATCTTTTATTATCAGTCACAAACATTCAAGGGAATTGATGTAATGAATAGAGCTGCATTTTCAGTAATCCCAAATGAACTTAAAGCTCTGAATGTTCATGATGAATTTGAAATTTTCAGATTTACGTTGGACATCGTGACTCTACAGTTAGTCTTTTTGACACAAGATTTGGCAAATCCATCTTCCGCCATCGACCAAAGAGAGGGTCTGGAAAAGTTGTGAGCATAATAAACACGAAAGGGTAAGTCTGACGACTCTATTTGCTTGACATGTTTAATTCAATTTGAGTTTTTATGGTTAAAGCTTGCTCCTGAGTGAACTGTAATAAATGTAACCCAGTGATCCCTGAACAGGCGTTTAGTTTGTATCAGAACCCTTGTTTATACATCATTCAATGTTGAAAAATTGAAATAAGTTATAGTAACGTGATAATCAAATAGAAATGTTTGGATTCACAGAAGAACATAGGGTTGTTGTAATTAGCAACATTAGGTCAAAGCTTCACCAATGCTGACACGGTACACTTGATGGAAAAATAGTTTTAAAAAATAACGAGGTAATTCATGTGCAACATCCCAAATTGTTGGCTGGAAGTGTGTATTCATATTTTGTTTATGGGCAATATGCTCTTCACACTTGCTAGGAAGCAATCCATCTAACTGCTCCTGCTCTCTACATTTCTCTCAGTGATTGTAACACAAAAATTAATGTACTCATCCATGTACATATTGCAGACTTAGTTTGCTTTGCTAATTAATTTGTATTGTTTATTTGTTTATTAATTGGCTTTCATGTTTGTATTGTTCCCAGCCTCTTCAGTGTATGTGTAGGCAATTAATTGTGTGGATTATTTTTTGTGTTTTCCCTGGTGTCTGTTATTCTTGCATTTTCAGTATTGATTTCTCTATTTATGTTCATTTCATATGAAGGATAAGATCTTACCATTATAAGATATAGTAGCTTTCAGCAAGTCAGATCCCCATTTCTCTTTAACTTTAGCCCAGCTTTATGTAATCATGTGCAGGTTGTATTGTTTGGGGGCAAAGTCTGATCCATGCAATGCTTTTTTTCTTGAGTTTGATTTGTTAGTTGACTGCCTGTTTAAATCGTGCCTCCCTCCTCTCTTTGAACTGACCAGGAGATGAAAGTTGTGGCATATCAACTTATGCATGACAAAGATGAAAGTTGTAGCATATCAAACTTATGCATGACAAAGATGAAAGTTGTAGGTAACTTATGCATAACATGCCCTCGAAGCTCATTTGAAATAGACCCCAACCCTACATCAATGGCTTTGTAAAATAATATTAATATAATAATAATGTTTGCCGTTGAGGCTCTTTATCTTCTTAATACTTCATGCTTAGTATAACACCTTGTTTTTAGTTCGTACTGCTAATTAGAGCATCATTACTCTTATTAGGCTCTACGCAACACGCCTCCTTCACACCAAATGCTTGCAAACCTTACTTAACTGCCATGTTTCCCTAATCACAGTATAGCTTCGGCTGAATATGTTGCAGTAATGTTTTATTTTGTTTATTTTTTCTAATGATTATGAATTTCATGCAAAATTACAACTTGGGATGTCCAGTTGAAGTTCAGGAGAGAAAACTATTCCTTTCTGTTCAAGCCTGAGCCGTTCATATTAGACGTCTTGTATGTGTTAAGGATAGTCAATTTCTTACCACAAATAATCGTTTACTTATATTTGTCAGGGCCGTTCTTATTTGACATCTTGTATGTGTTAAAGTAGAGCGTCAACATTACTCTTACGTGGCTCTACGCAACACGCCTCCTTCACACCAAATGCTTGCAAGCCTTACTTAACTGCCATGTTTTCTTAACCACAGTAGGTATAGCTTCTGCTGAACATGCTGCATTTATCATCTGTTTATTCTTTGTTATCTTGTGTTTATTCTTTTCAATGATTAAAAATGTCATGATAAATTACGACTTTGCATGTCCAAACAAGAGGCTACAAGCATCAGAGTTGAAGTTCAGGAGAGAAAACTATTCCTTTCTGTTCAAGCCTGAGCCTTGCTTATTTGACATCTTGTATGTGTTAAGGATAGTCAATTTCTTACCACAAATAATATTTTGCTTATATTTCACAGGAACGTATTGGTTGGGCTTGAGTCAGGTCACATCTGCTCGTTATTGAAGTGCCCCAGGAAGGAATTAATAGCGATCGATACGCTGCACCGCGTCAAAGCTTCCTTCAGAGACAAGCCCAAACTGAGCGTCGTGAAGACGCATCCTGATCACAGCGCCAGGCTCGCCACAGGCGGCTGTGAAAATGATCTCAAAATTTGGGATTTGGAGAACACCAAAAAGCCTATATTTTCTGCTAAAAATGTGAGTATGCAGCATACGTAGGAATATATAGCCTATGTAGTAATATATGGCCTATGTAGTAATATATGGCCTATGTAGGAATATATGGCCTATGTAGGAATATATGGCCTATGTAGGAATATATGGCCTATGTAGNTTCCCTTCCTGTCTCTTATACACATCTAGATGTGTATAAGAGACAGATCTTATGTTGACGAGAAAGAACTGGGGCTATACTTAAAAAAAAAATTCAAAGATCATATGTTCATCAGCCAATCATTGACGGCCTTTCAAGCAAAATCCACCAATCATAGACAAGAAAATAGAGACTTACGTTCACTAGCAAGTTTTGAAAGTATGGCCCCTGAACTGCTAATTTAAAGCATTGGTTCCTAGCATAGTTAATGACTAAAGACTATTATTGGATCACTGATCTGCCTTATTTGTTCCATATGGTCTAATTTATTTAAACCTTCGTTCTTGCCACTTGAAATTGATGGGATATTTTTGTGCGGGAGTTGCAGCCAACTTTAGTGCTGGGCAAATTGCCAAGTTTTTTAACTTAGAATAAGATGAATAAATGAATTTAAATGTTTTCAGAACATGTTCACTATACTATGTTAGTTTCTTCAGAAATGCAAATTCAACAATTAATTATAATAATATATGTGAATGTAACATGTATAAGCTGTCTAAGGTAACATCGTGTGATGAAGCACCAAGTTATATATATATATATGTCACAGTAAAATATATTTTTAAATACAAACTATAGTTGTATCAATTTCAAGACTAAAAGTTTTTGTTCTTATCCCAAATGACAATCAAAGACTTGAGGAGTTATTAGCTGATAAATATTTTGAAGTTTTTCTTAACAAATACAATGGTTGGTCACTCTGCCTAATCCATAGCTTAAAAAGGCATAATTTTTATTTTTAAATAACTACATAAAGTTATTTATATTATTTAATTATTATTATTATTATAAATAATATTGTCCCATTAGAATAAATTTTTTTTAAGTGATTGCTTTATAAATATTCCAATTTTGAAATGACATCAAGTGCAGAACTGCCCTGTTTGGTATAAACTTTCATGTGCAGTAGAAAAAAGTTGCAAGTGAATTTCAATATCAGAATTATTCTAGCCAGCAAAGTATATATTTATTGCTTGATAATCGCGTCAAATGTTTGATTAATACAATCATGCAGAATTAGAATTTACTGTCATATAGTTTGAATGATCCATGCTGCAATATGTGTATACAATTCCTGATCTTTTTCCTTCTTAATAAAATACCAATAATGAATGACTTATCTTGGCGTGCTTTTGTGCCTAATTCATGATTTCATTTAATAAACTTAGTTAACTTATTTGATAAGTTTTGTACATAATGTCTGTAATTTTTTGTGTGAGTTGTATGACAGGTTAAAATTATCCGCTTGTTGCAGGTGTATGACAGGTTAAAATTATCCGCGTGTTGCAGGTCCCTCACGATCCCCTGAACCCTGTCTCTTATACACATCTAGATGTGTATAAGAGACAGATGTAGGAATATATGGCCTATGTAGGAATATATGGCCTATGTAGGAATATATGGCCTATGTAGGAATATATGGCCTATGTAGGAATATATGGCCTATGTAGGAATATATNCCTTGGCAGGGAACAGTTCTGTTAGTTGTTCCCTCCTTGGCAGGGAACAGTTCTGTTAGTTGTTCCCTCCTTGGCAGGGAACAGTTCCGTTAGTTCCCTCCTTGGCAGGGAACAGTTCTGTTAGTTGTCCCCTCCTTGGCAGGGAACAGTTCTGCTAGTTGTTCTCTCCTTGGCAGGGAACAGTTCTGTTAGTTGTTCCCTCCTTGGCAGTTAACAGTTCTGTTAGTTGTTCCCTCCTTGGCAGGGAACAGTTCCGTTAGTTGTCCCCTCCTTGGCAGGGAACAGTTCCGTTAGTTGTCCCCTCCTTGGCAGGGAACAGTTCTGTTAGTTGTTCCCTCCTTGGCAGGGAAGAGTTCCACGAGTTGTCCCCTCCTTGGCAGGGAACAGTTCCGTTAGTTGTTCCCTTCTTGGCAGGGAACAGTTCTGTTAGTTGTTCCCTCCTTGGCAGGGAACAGTCCATTAGTTGTTCCCTCCTTGGCAGGGAACAGTTCTGTTAGTTGTTCTCTCCTTGGCAGGGAACAGTTCCGTTAGTTGTTCCCTTCTTGGCAGGGAACAGTTCTGTTAGTTGTTCCCTCCTTCGCAGGGAACAGTCC